CGACTAGGAAAGCCCCCTCAGTCAACAACAGGGAGCAGTGGCAGCAAACATGGCTGCCCTGAAGCCGAAGACAGCCTGAAAATCTAAGACTCTGCAGAGAAAGTGAGTGGCTTGTGAACTGGGTAAGAGACTATTTTTTATTGAAAAGTGACCCCAGGAAATTCAAGGGGGAAGCATATTGGAACTATTGGCTAGCAGCGGAAAAAGTACATTAAAAAAATCAGAATATTTAAGAAGAGAAATTTTTTGAAAGAAAACTAAGGAAAAGAAAACTGAAATCTCAAAGTGAAGACGTGGTATTTAAGGCATTTTAAAAAATACTCGAATTCGATCTGAAGCTTGTTTTTTTTATTATTATAAATGTTGCCCTCCTGGATTTACAAATTTAAAATAATTAAAATCAGCACTACGCAGAGAGGCAGTACCAAGCTGAAGTTTGAGTGCCATCTGCTGCTAAAAGGAGAACTATGCAACTTTGGAACTTTTTACATTGTTGGATTATAAATACTTACTTAAAAATTACTGGAGACTTATACAAGAAACAAGACCTTCAGTCAAGTGACCCTGAATATTGTTGAGCAAATCAAAGTGATTAGAAAAAGTGTGGACAACTTCCTGGCTTCTTTTCTTAAATTGGATTACCGTATTTTTCAAAGTATAAGATGCACCGGAGTATAAAATGCACCAAGATTTTGAAGAGGCAAGTTTAAAAAAAGTTTTTGGACTCTGCAGACCTCCCCAAAACAGCCCATTTTTCTTCCAAAGAAGGAGGCTTGTAGAATGCTCTTGGGGGTGGGGGGGAGTGTTCCTGGAGGGTGGTGGGAGCCAAAAATGGGCAAAAAAACCAGCCCGTTTTTCACAAAAATGGGCCCATTTTTTGTCAAAAAAGGGCATGCATAGCCTTTAGGAGGCTTATAGAGTGCTCCTGGGGGTTGGGGGGGGAATTGAGCAAAAAACTGCCTTTTTCACTCATTTCTGCCCTCCCCAGCCCCCAGGAGCACTCTATAAGCCTCCTAAAGGCTGTGCATGACCATTTTGGTGAAGGGGCGGGGTTTCGGGAGGCAAAAAAAATGCTGTATTCAGAGTATAAAATGCACCCAGATTTTCAGCCTCTTTTTTGAGGGAAAAAGGTGCATCTTATACTCCGAAAAATATAGTAATTGTAAAATGGAAGCAAGTGGAGACAATGAAATTGAGCTGATGTACCAAGACATTAAGGATTTTATAAAAGAATAACACAAGGAGATGAAGGAAATATTTAGTTGTATAGAACGTACAGATCAAAAATTGGAAAATATAATACAAGGAACAATAAGTAAAGAAAAGGACAATGAGGAAAAAATGGAATCATCAGAAAGAGCGGGGGAGACAGCAGAATTGGGAAATCAACAAGAAGAAGGCAACAGCAAGAAGATAATAGTACAATTGATGGTGAATAAGGGAGTAGAACAGAAGGGAAATATTCTAAAAGATGTGAAAAGGAAATGCAAGAAGCAGGAAGACAGCTGGAGAGAAGAAAAAGAGGTTAGAACAGGTAGTCATAGAATTAGACAGTGGAGGGGAAAGGGCAAAGGGAGAGAAAATTAGAGAACATAGTTATAATGCAGATCCAAAAGTAGGTGAAATAAAAGAATTAAAAGAAGTGTATGGGAGACAAAAAGAAGAAGATTAAAAATTTGGATGAGGGTAAAAAATGTAGAATAAAGGGAAAGGAAAGGAATGTAAAGCGACATTTTATGAAAATACCTTATAACGTGTATGAATATTAGAACTATATAAGTTGGATAACTGCTCTGTATGTGGTGTGAGACAAAAATCATTTTTAAGATAGTAATGTAATGTATATTTATTAGAATTATAGAGTGAAAAATAGTTTGTAAATTAGATAAACAGAATTTGTAGAATGGTATTAAATATGTATAAAATGTGATTAACAGTGAAAAGCTAGGATTAAGTAATTTGATAAGCTTGAAAAATCAAGATTGATGCTAGAAGTGCATTTTGAAATATTGAATAATGGNGGAATAGTGGTGGGTTCCTACTGGTTTGAACAAGTTCAGCCGAACCGGTAGTGGTTTGGTGGCCTGGGTTGCTGGAACCGGCAGCAACCCAGGCCTGCCATGCCCCCAAACCGGTTTTCCGGGTGGCACTGTAGATGCCGCCATCTTGTTTTTTTGCCTCTGCGCATGCACAGCACAATTTTTATTGCACTGCGCATGCATGCACAGCGTGCATCAAGTGCACATGTGCGTGTGGCGTGGCCAAAAGCGAACCGGCAATAGTGACTGCCGGAACCCACCCCTGGAGGGGACATAGTATCTGCCAAACAGCAAAACTCCTTCCTGTTGCACGTCATCCAAGCTATAAAAATTTTCAAATAATAACTAATGAAACTTTCGTTGAAAGATCTTCAATCCTTCAAATAACTGGCCTCGCTATCAGAAATATATCCTAATTTCAACCAAAACCTACCCTACTGCAATTTGAAGTCATTTTAAATTTGACATTGCCCTCTGAAGCAGCAGGCAACAAATCTCTGTCTGCATATATTGGACTTTTAGTCATAATTTTAGATCTCATCCTATGGCTTCACATAGCCCTGTGAAGCCTCACTCATTTTTTTTTAACAAAACCTGGGTCAGTGACCTTAACTTTGATATCTGTACCGATAACTATCAATTTAAATCCAAACATTCCAAGAACTAAGAGTGCAGAACAGTAATTATGTATAAAGGATTGGTCCCTGTCTATGGAAGTTGCCCAAGGTCTCGCATAAAGGTCTAAGTCAGAGAACAGCTTAAAAGAGGAAGGGAGGGAGGGGCAGAAAAGCAGACTGCTTAGTTAAATGTCAAGTGCCAAACTAACTCATCACTGTTCTATTTCAGTCTTTGCTGGGTGGAACATACAGGCAAAACTGTCAGAATAATTGCCTTGGCCTATATATTTATTTCGGTTTAAATGTTTTATAGCAAAAGAAGACTCCCGTTCTCCTATTGGCTATCAGCAAAGCAAAACCAACAGCACACCAGTGTTTACAAAAAGTTACAAGGGTCTTGATAAATTTCATCCAAGTGAATTAAAACAGGAAGAAAGGCCGCCTGTCAGGCCTGCAGCGGTTCCTTTAAGAATCTTTGGCCTACCACACTCTCATTAAGGGTGGGGGGATAGCAAGGGGTAGAATGTGTTGTTTCCAAAATAAAAAAATTCCTTTCTAGAAGCTCAAGGTCATCTTTTGTCTCNCTCTCTCTCTCTCTCTCTCTCTCTCTCCCTACCTACCTACCTACCTACCTACCTACCTACCTACCTACCTACTGTATTTCTCTCTCTTTCTTTCCCTCTCTATCCTTCTATCTACCTACCTACTTTTTTTAATTTGCCTCTTCAAAACCTTGGGGTTTCTTATACTCCAGTGGGTCTTATACTCTGAAAAATATGGTTTCACTTAAAGTAAGAAATCTATTGTGAGCTTTTTCATTATAAAGGCCAGATTAGCCCTCTTTATTGTATTAAATTTTGTCTTGTGTACATACTAGGGTACGGGAATTGTTTTATATCTTCAAAATTATTTGGATTTATTTATAATTTTCTTATGATATGGAATGTTTATTTGAATGAAACATTTATTTGGGGTAATTATTTGGACTTGCTAGAATAGAAAAAAATGTTATGAATTGGATTATCTTATAGTTAACATGACTTTAAGCCTTTTTTTCCTACCATTACTTTAAGTATACTAATCTGATAGTATGTTTTAAAATGGTTTTGTATCTAATTGTTTTTCCACTTAAAGCAAGGTATATTTGTGAGCTTGTGTTCTTTAAAGGAGAATTTATCCTTTATCATGTTAAATTTTAGTTTTTTGTTCACACCAGGATACTGAGATCACTTTATGCTTTCTAACTGTGGATTTGCTTACAGTTAAGAGTTGAGATGTGGAATGCTGAGTTTTATATCTGTTAATTAAAGTTATGTTGTTGTTTTTTTGCTACCATTGGGATTGGAAAAGATATTACTGACTGGAATTACTTATAGTTAAGAGAGAGGTTATAGGATGAAAAATTATATGTCTGTTAATTTAGTGTAAAGACATAATGGTCTTCATAATTGTTCTTCTCATGATGAGAATGAGAAGTTGCTTTCTTATGGTTTTCCCCCTCTATTCTTTTTCACCCTTCCACTTTTTTCCCCTTTTCTTGTCCAGTCTGTATTACCTTTTACTAATCTAATTATTTTTTAAATAAAATTAAAATTCATATTATCATGAAACAGTGATGTGCAGTAAGGATTATGGTTGGTGAGGGAAGAGCACTGCAGCGGCAAGAAGCAACGTCCCCACCGCTGTGTCCAACAGGCCAGGCGTCTCACGTTTATGGCGAACATAAACACGAGACGTCTGGCCTGTCGGACACAGGGGAGGGGGCGCAAGGCTGCAGCCAGCAAAGAAAGGGGAGAGGAGGAGGAGGAAAGGGAGAGGGGAGCAGGACAGGGCTCCCAGTGGAGGGGAGAGGCTGTCCCTCTCTTCTCAAACAAACTCTCTCTCAAATTGAAAGAGAGTTTGTTTGAGTGAAGAAAGAAACACACGCACACCCAGACACACACAAACACACACAAATTACTCACAATAAAAAATTACNTTTGCCTTTGACTCTGATTTAATTCTGCATGATATTTGGAACGCTGACACGGAGATGGAGCACAGCTAGACAGAGATGGGTTGGAAATAGAGAAAACTGTGGCCATTAAAAAAGTATCAAGGAGAACAACTGAAT